GCAAAGCAGTGGGAAGGGCCTTCTTTGGCATCACCAGCATGGGGCAATTTTACTCTGTGTTTTGACATGCCCAACTAGTTACACATGATCATCTTGGGATGACTAAACCTGGTTTTCAAGTACCCCACAACTCATCCTAATCATGACGGCCCATGTTTCACTTACATTTCCCGTTTTGGGTGGTTCAATCATCATCTTCCGCACCATCTTCCAATGTCGTTACCACCCTCTGGTGTGATTAACTTCAACTGTGATGCAACATGCCGGTCAGATGCGTGGTTGAGATGACGCGCAAAAAGCGGGGCCGACGGCATATTTGAATATGGACCCATGTCAGGAGGGGAACCTCTCCCAGCAGCCATGCGGCTTGTTAAGATCAGTTTTTATGATTGTTCCGAGCAAAGAAAAATATGTCTGTGGGCATTCGTTATTCCGCTTTGCAGGGGAGGTTGTGTATTGCACCATATTGAACCTTTGCACGGTTCTTGCTTTCAGCGGCGTTCGTGGAAAATCGATGAGCGGCTGGTTTCAGAACCCTGTCTTGCTTCATGTACGGCATGCTGAGCCAGCCAACTGGAGGATTGATAGTGATCGCACAGGCCAGGGTTCCACCACTGCATGTATGAGCAAGAATCCTGGCCACAAATCAGCTCAAGTATGATCCGCCAGTTGTCGTGTTTAGGCGTTGCTCAACAAGCACGGGGGGATCCTGTTTGTCAAACCCAGAGCCAGGTCGCTCGAGTCTCCATGGACCATTCTCTTTGAAAGGCTGGCCCACCCCCTTCAAGCAAGATCACCGCTGGGAGTTGGGTTACTTGCATAGTTCCCGTGTCATGCGGAAGAACCCCGGCCACGACAGCCATTAGGAAGGGAGTGACGCCTCCCCCCCCCCCCCCCGCATTTTTGGAACACACGAGCGTTGGTGGGTGTCCAAAAAATAGGCAAACACCCATGAGAAAAATAACAAGCGGCCTTTGGGTACGTGTCCCAAAACATATACCTCATTAAAATGCCCTTGCACACTCCTGACATCCCTCATAATACCGCTTGTGTGGCCCTCACATAGGTTGCTTCTTCAGTTTCCTGGGACAACCTCCTCGGTCGCACGATTCCCCCCCCCCTCCGAAAGGCGCGAAACAAAGGCACAAAAAAGTCAACAGCGCCATTGCATCCTGATTTAGTCGGATGAAATCAAATCGGAGCAAGGAGGCTGCTGCCCACCCACAAGGGCCTCATCGGGCGCCAGCCCTTGGACCTGCTCATCTTCTGCCTTTGGGTGGTGGTGGCACCTCGGCGCGAGGGAGGAGTCGTTTTTTGGGTTTTGGTTTCTTTTTTTGGGGGGGGCAAAGGGTGGGGTGGTGGTAGGAGTGGGAGGTGGGGGTGGCCCTCCGCCGGTGTGTCGTCATTTACCGGTGGACTTTCAGGTGCAAGCCGTTTGTTTAGGTTGCTATACAACAGGGCTCCTTAAAAGATACAGTTGGCCCATTTGAAACATGGCTTTTTCCACCAACATGAAAGGAAACCACCATTGACAAGGCAATGTTCAGGTGTATAATGTAAGGATCCCTGATACAAGCAAAAGATGGGTGAGAATGGGCCATACTGGTTCATTTTCGGGCAGCTTGGCCAAAAAGAATCAAGGAGGGCCACCCGCATCCACTCGGTCTTTTTCTACGTGGGTTGCGCCTCGCCAGGTGCTGTACATCACCATGAAGGCTGGGAGTCGCATGGAAATTGGGGCCTCCGGCCCTGGGGTCTCAAAATCGGAACCTTGCCTGGCAGGCTCCCCTTTTGTCCTTGTTTGATTTTTTTGGCGAGAAAGGGGGGTACCGCCAAAAAGACAACCCCAGATTGTGGTTTCTCTTTGGTCCAAAAGGGTTTTGTAGAAAGCATTCAAATCGGAATGTGTTTGTTCTTTTCGTTTGCAGCTCAAGCCACGCTTAGACATGTTTTTCTTATGCGTTGGCGTCTTTTACTGTACCAGTTCATGTGGCAGGGGGAGTTCAACCAACCTCACCTCCGGTTTCGCCACACATTTCTTGAACTCAGCTAACAGCAAATTTGCGAACTTCGGGCACCGACCAAGCTCCAGATTTCCTCCAAGGAGCTGCCATCCTACTTGAGGTTTCTGGGGATGGACTTCAAACAGCCATATGGGTGCCAAGTAAGATAATTTCCCGAGCCACCGGAGTCAAAAAGCCTTGCAAGATGTCGGCTCCGCTGGCCTCCAGAAAAGTCTCAGAGTCTAAGAACCAAGGTTTGCAAGGCCGAGTGATAAGAGGCTTTGGGGGTGAGCTGAGTTTTTCTTCAGATTGGATTGGTCTTCTTCAAGATCGCGTGGTCGATCTTCATCTTCGGCCTGAAGATGATGTGCTGCTGCGGCTGCCGGGGAGCCGAAGAAATCCTCAGAAGGCCTCCCAGCAGCCGTTCGCTCCGGCAAGGCGGCGCCGAGAGCAGCAAGCAACCCGTTGGGCCCTCCAATCATGGATGAGGATCGGAGGCTTGAAAAGAACCACTTCCAGTAAAGATCACCCAAAATCGGAAGCCAAAAAGGGATGATGGAGCTTCCGGGTTTTGACTCGGAGTCGTGTCCCCGAGTTTGGCACGTGGGGCTTGACACGCGAAGCCGAGGCTGCGGGCTTTGCTTCAGAAGAAAGCCGCCGCCCAAAGGCCCAAGGGAGAGAGCGCTTCGCGCAGATGATGGAAGTGTCTTGATAGATTTGGGGGTTTCGAAATGAAGACACCGACTCAAGCTGGGAATTCCTGGGTTTCGAATTCGAAACCCTCGAATTCCCCTTACCTCAAAGATACCCTCACCATATGCCCGGAACCGATCTCTCCATGGCACCCCGGAATGCTCCAACACCCTCCCAATCTCAACGCAACATGCATCACCGGAGCCAAACCTTGCCAGCTATTTGAGAAACACGCTGTGTGGTTCTTTTGTTTGCTCCTCGGAGCCAACACCAAGTTTGCTGCCTGGGCCTTTGTGTCGCCATGCTGGTTGGGCACGTGCCATCGGTTCGGGCGCGCTTACTGGCTTGCCCCCCCCCCGGCGCCAACGAGGCAAGTGCTATATCTGTGTGCTGCATCGACTTTTGACCACAGCTTTTCCTTGACCCTGATCAGGTGCCTGCAAGCTGCGGCTTATTTCCCAAGCACACGCGCGCGAGCTTGTCCAAACCGATCTTTGATTTGCCCCTCTTGGTTTCTGACGGGAATCTATCGCCACTGGACATTTTGATTTTGACATTTCCCACCCCCCAATAAACAGACACCCAGACCTCCCGCCAAAAAGTGATCCTTTTCCAAGACACCCAGACCAACCAAACGAGTATTCCCCCCCCCCAAAAAAAGGAAAGAAAGACACCCAAGCTTTTGCCAAAGCTCGGAGAAGGCACCATCTTAGCCGTTTCCCTTTCTGCCCGCGAAAGCAAGTCGGCTCGCTCGCTCATAGAAAGGCGCGTCAGGTTCCGTGTTGGGTTCTGGGCATTCCCGAAGAACCAATCCTTCAACGAGAGTCCCGGGTTTCGCCGGGCAAGGCGCCCAACGGCAACGCCAAGAGGTGAACACGGCGGGTGGATCTGCGAGTCGCATGACCAACTAGTAGCTGAAGTAGCTGAAAGTGTGGGAAGCGATATCCAGCTGTTTGAGTCCCCCCTCCCAAAGGGATGAGATTGTGGGGGAACTGCATTCCACACCTGGTGCGGGAGCGTTTGCTCGGCCAGCCGGTAATGCACGAAAGGGCCGCTTACAGCGGCCTATGGCTAGGTTCAAGACGTCGAGAGGATTTGACTGCGACAGGTACCGGGCAGCATTGGTCATAAGTGGAAGCTTTAAGCCTCCTGGCCAGGTTTAAAAGTGTTATCACATTTTGTCCCAGGTCCACTCAGCAGAGCATGGGACATGAACATTTGAATGGACAGCCATGAGGATGTCAACGCTAGCGAAGCCAGGTGCTCATGCGAGCCACCAGAAGCATCTTGTTTACTTCTATGTGCTTTTTGTTAACATATATATATATATAATATTTTGCCCTGTTGGTTTTAAAGGGAATCTATCACTATTGGAAATATTTCTATTTTTTCCAGGGGGCTTAAGCAAATGGAAGTTTATGGTGTGCAGGGATGCACACCACCTCTTGACAGGATTAGCAAATAGGTTTACATGTCTAGCGGAAGGGACCCTCAATCCCCAAGCTACGCTCTCAGGATTGTTCTCAAAGTTCGAGACATCTATTCGAGGGGAGGGGAGCGAAGGTGAGCTCCGAGCATGTCCGGTGTTGACATGCAAGAGGTAGCTGCTGGTTCCCAGTCGTTTTTCCCCAGATAGCTGACAGCTATAGGGGTTCTAACTTCTAAACGGAGGAAGTGATTTGCGAGATTGACGGCTGGGTGCTAGAGGATGTCCTTGGATGTTCGTGCTGTCCTCTTGACTCCCAGCCATGCGGAGAGTTGCTCGGGCACGTTTGTGCCGAAGCGCCGAAGCCTGGCGCCTCGGCACGGCCGACGTGGCCTTGGTGGCTCACAGCCATCCCGTTAGCTTGTTTTTGCAATTTAGTGTTTAGTGGTAGTTTCCATTTAACCCACTAAAGTTAAGCTTTTAGCGGGGGATCTGGGGCAGCCCAGTGGCAATTGCCAGAAACGAAACCGTGCGGGGGTCTACCCGGCATGGGCTTGGAACAGGGGAAAAGTTGGCGCCTGGCTGAAGGCTGATGAGGGCCCGAGTCGTGTTATTATAAGTCCTTTAGCAAGGTGGGCTTTGCTTCTTCAAGAGATTGCGCGAGGTTTACAAACTGGTTCCGCTTCGTGAGGCTTTGTTCGTTTTTAAAGCACCACACCCTGAGGGTTGGATCGGTTCAAATAGAAGCCTTCCGCCTCAGGTCTTAATCTTTCTAGCTTCCGGGGTGCTTAACATATTTACACGCTGACGCGACACAGCCGGCGTGCACCCTGCCCTTCCCTCGTTTTCTTCTTTTATTTGTTTCCTTCATTCCTTTTTAGTTCCCTTCATGTCCCTTCATTCGCAATCCTTCTCCTGAATTTCCCTTCATCTGCATGCCTTTCACTTAATCCGTTTCAGTTCCCTGACAACATCCCCAGCATCACACAGCCAGCCACCGGGTACCCTGCCCTTCTCTTCATTTCTTTTCAGTTGCCTTAATTCCCTTCATTTGCAATCCTTTCCCTAAATTTCCTTCAGTTGCCATGACTTGTCCTCACTTCCCAATTTCAGTTCAGTTTCAGGACCCTTCGCTTCCTTGTTTCACTTCATCTCCCTTCAGCTCCCTTCATTTGATGTGCCTTCATTTCCCTTCAACTTCGTTCATTTCTTCCTTTGTTTTCCCTTCATTTCCCTTTACTTCCTTTCAGGTCCCTTCATCTACAATCATTTCCTTTCCTTGCCTATAATTTCCAGTAATTTCCCTTCATTTCCCACAATTTCCCTTCATCCTTCAGTTGTCTTTCATTTCCCTCAATTTGACTTGAGTTCCATTCATGTCCCTTCACTTCCCTTCATTTTAGTTTTCCCCAGTCCCCTCCCAGTCGCCTCTTCAACCTTTCATTTGCCTTCATTTTCTTTGTGCGGCAATCCGACCCGATGTCGCAGGTACTTTATCAACCGCTTCGAGAAGTCTTTCACTTGCCCGTAGCGCATGTCCCGCAACATAGTCCTAGGATACCGTTGATCCCCACTGGATTCATGCGCGAACACTCCGAATTCCACTGCGTCCGTCGGCATGCAGGCCAAGCTCGAGCTTCCCCGTAGGATGGGACCAGTCCTGGTTCTGCGGTCCTGGACTAACCGGTCTGGGAAGTCGTTTTTTTTTGTCAGTTTCGGGTGTGTCCCCCAGAAAGAAAAGGTCATGAGGAGTCCAATCACTTCATTCCAGTTGCATCCCACGCCGGTCCCCTATGCAGGAGGCTGGGACGGGAGGCAGAGGGTCGGCGGATATATATCAAAATATATACATGTATATATGTATATATATATATATATATGTATATGTGCTATATATATATATCATATTCTATATATAATATTATATATAATAGTATATATATAAATTATTTACTATATATTATCCTCTGATTGACGTTTTTCAAAGTCACGGTGGTGTGAGTTTCCTTTGGGTTGGGTAATGTTAGAAGGGAAATACAGCGACCCCGCCATGTTGCAATGTGGTGAATGCATTGTCCCAGTACCTTCCTGGAAAATAGCCCGTTTCGGGCACCCCCCGAAATGGCGGTGTTTTCCTTTCACACCTGCCATTTGGCCATACCAAACACTTGCTGATTTGGGGCCATGGAGGCCATGGGCGCAGCCATGGAGAGCTGAATCAGTGGATTTCAGGAGGGTGTTCGACGGTTTATTCCCGCTGACTTTCAGAGCCAGAGGACCGTAGGCTTTTGTCTATTCCATTTATTTGGGCTCAATTCTGGGCCGAATTCGGTTTTTGCGCCATGCCCGTATGGGTTTCTGTTTCTTTGAGGGAAGCTTGAAGGTGAAGCCCACCCCTTAGAGGTTCTTACCCTTGCGACGGGCTAGGCGGGAACCATGCTTTGAGACAGGAATGCTATTTCCCTTGGAAGGATAAATTGCAGTTTCTTTGCCACAACGGTTTTTGTATTTGTGGTGCCGTTTTGGGACTCTGCACTTGAATCGGACGAATCGGACATATTCATGGGTTCCTTCCAGTCCGATTCTGGTGAGCCCGAAGAAGTGCAGGCGTCGGGCAGTTGAAACTTGTTTGCGCGTTCGGCGAAGCGCCCTACTTTGTTTTTGGAAACCTCCGAGTTGAGAGGGTGAAAGCAGAATGCAAGGCGACAAATGGGTGTGTCTCCTTTTCAGGATTTGGACCCCCCAAAAGGGTGGTTTTCTTATGGCTTCCCTTCAAACCACCAAAGAAAGGGGTGCCCCACACACCTAAATGACTCATGGTTTGCTCCTATGATCACTTGTAGCCTTATTCCCGCAGACCAATTCTAGTTTGTTAGCTCTTAGACATGTGAGGAAGCTAGGGGGGGAAGGGTGCCGAAGGGAAAAAAAGAGAAGTCCAGTACCCCGCGCAGGTCGATTGATCAGTACATGAACCTCCAGATGCCCTGCTGGCCTGCTTTCTTGAAGTCTGGGTATGGCTCAAAATCAATCACCATCGGGAATTGGACCGCATTCAGTCAACTTGTTTTTATGTCCAGGGTTTTCATTTTGGGCTTTTGACCCAGGCCCATTTGACAAGCTCAGAGCGGAAGGAGCTGGGGAGACAAATGTTTCTTTTTGGTCGGTTTGCTTGAATTTCGGCTCATGGGTTCCACTTGGGTCTACTCATTTGCCCACCTACTTTTTCCAGGGCACCTCCGCAAAGGCCCCTTTTCGGCTTTGTTATCTTGAAGGGTATTCTTGCTCCCCCCGCTCTGGCGGTTCTGGCTTTCCCCCTGGCGCGAGATTGCGGGGGTCCGAGATTGATGGAAGCGGCCCGGGGTTGCGCGTGGTTTTCTTTTGCAGAATTCGAAAGGAAGCCATTTTCCGGAAACGCCTTGTGTGACTGCTTTTTAACAAGGCAGGCTTCCTTGTTGCTCATGCGCTTTGAACCACTCCCCGGCGTAGTTAAAATCTTTGCAAAGCTGTGCGCATCCCTGCGGTTGTTTAGCTTTAAGGCTTGTGTTGCGTGTCTTGCTTTCGTCCAAAGGGGGCGAAGCTCAAGCAATGATTGGCTGCCCTTTGTGCTCCCCTGAAACAACCTCAAACATCGGTCAATGACAACGCCCTTTGCAAAGGGTTGCATTGCTAAATCTTGGCCTCGTGGGTAGATATTGGTACTGAGCATAAAAAGCTGAAGGGCGCATTTGAAACTATCCCGAGAACAGGGTATGGCAAGGGACATTGTTTCAAATGGGCCATCGGATAGATCAGATTCGCATATATACATCATATACAATGATCTTCCATTTGGTCAAGATTTTGTTTCTTTTTTTTTCCCCTGTTGTTTTTAAGGGAATCTATGACTATTTTTTTCTTTTTCCAGGGGACTTAAGCAAATGGAGGTAATGTTTCGCCAGTTTAGCCCTCCTCTTTCGGTGGCTGAAAGAGGCACGTTTTTGGCAAAGCTGGCGCTCGAAGCTTCTCGATTGCCAGGCTCAACACCGAGGAGTGGGCTGGGGACTCCCAGAGAAGTGGTGCCAAAGCCACCCGTTCGCCTTGGAGTCTCTGACTTGAAGAAAACCCAACAATTCGATTCCATCAAAGAACCTCCTTCAAAGACAGAATGTAGCTCTCTTTCTCTCCCTCTCTCTCTTTCTCTCTCTCTCTCTCTCTCTCTCTTTCTTTCTTTCTTTCTTTCTTTCTTTCTTTCTTTCTTTCTTTCTTTCTTTCTTTCTTTCTTGTGTTCTTTTTTTTATCCATCTTGATTTATCGATTCATTGTTTACTTCTTGATTTATTGATTTGTTGATTCACTCATTTATTCATTTCTTGCATCTGCACAGAGACCTCTCCGTTCATGCCATAGAGCTAAGTCCTTAAAAGCAAGCATACTTTTGTTGAGTCTCGACATGAGTTCTGTTTGGGGGATGCTTTCCATTTCGGCCACCTTTAGAAGGGCAGTTTT